GTTGGAGGTTGCTGTGAGCTGTAATGCCACGGCACTCTACCCAGGGGGACAGCTTGAGGCTCTGTCTCAAAAAAAAAAATAAAATAAAATAAAAATAAAAGCAGCATGAGGCCCTTACCAGATGCAGCTGCCCAGTGTTGGGCTTTCCAGCCTCCAAAACCATGAACTAAATAACCTCCACTCCTTATAAATTATCTCAGGTACTCTGTTACAGTACCACAGAACAGTCTAAGACAAGTGCCAAGGGTCAGCGTGTGCCATGATAGGACACATTACTTTTGGGTTTTCAGTGGCTGATGAGTCACCAGCAAGGGCTGCAGTTTGAAAGGTAACTGAGAGTGGTTTCTATAAGTGGTTATTAATTCAGGGGTGAACGTTGGCTTTTGAAATTCACAGCTATCTATCCTCTTTGTTTCTTCTTGATTGCTGAGGTAGGGAAAATCACTGGCTCAGCTGTTTAAGGAGATTTCAGAGCTAAAACTGTCTTGGCTCTGAGAGACCCAAGAGCCAACATAAAAATGAGATCCTTGATTTGTAAAGTACTGAGTACTCTGGGTTTTAGAGACTCCTCCATTAGTGATCCTTTCACTCCCGTGGACAGCTACTGCTTTCCTGTTTGTCTTGTTTTTGTGTCCTGAGAACTTAGTCAACCAACCAAAAAGTTGGGAGTTGCTGAGAAAATGGCTGGACAGCAATGTGGGTTGCTGCCCATATTTGCAACTAGTTTCAACAACTGTTGTGTCTAAACCTTCCTTTCTTGTGGCTGTCTTTGGGAGTATCTCTGGATTTTGCTCTAAAACGATTAATGAGAAACACAATGGGATCCACAAATTCTAAGGGATGCAAAGATCCCTTTCAGGGACTCCAGCTACCTTATATGTTCCAACATGGTCCATTCTTAACGCACATTTTTAAGCCAATACACAAATTATGTCCAGGACAATTTGGAGCTCTAGTGACCTGCAGGTGGACTGTTTGAACTTCCCAAACTTGCTTTTATTCTTAGAACTAAATTAGAAGAACACGGCTATAGAGTTAAAGTCTAAATGGGATGCGTATTTTTTGATTGACATACAGAGGCTCCTAAGAGGGTTCTCTTTCTCTCTACCTTCCCCTGCCTACTTAGAATCTGTTGACTTTTTGGCTTGGTTACCTGCCCAGGATTCCAAAATAGCCTTTTTAAAAAGTTCATTGTGAAGCGCTAATGAAAAGCTAGAAATCCAAGATATCCCCCACACCAAGGACAGTGAAACTGATGTCATTCCTGCTGCTCCTTTCCCTCCTACTTTGCTTGAATATTTAGTCTACTAACACTCTGAATTCTCTTTTTTCTCAGAAAAAAACCAACAATGATGAAAGGGGAAAAATAATACTGTCTGAACAATGATATCCGTAACCCCACCTGGTCCAGTTTATGGGCCAGGCAAACCCTGGAAAATTGCAAATGACCGTTTGAAAGACATTTCCGAAGTGTTCCAGCTTTATGGCAACCAACAACCTAGAATGACTTCTGGTCCTGCCCCAGAGCCCCCCAATAAGTCACCCCTAAAACAGAAGTTTAAAAAAAAAACTTTTTTTTGAGACAGAGTCTCACTATGTCGCCCTCACAGCAACCTCCAACTCTTAGGCTTAAGCGATTCTCTTGCCTCAGCCTCCTGAGTCAAAGAAAAAATATTTTGAGAGAGTCTCATTATGTTGCCCTCAGTAGAGTGATGTGGTGTCACAGCTCACAGCAACCTCAAATTCTTGGGCTTAAGCGATTCTCATGCCTCAGCCTCCCAAGTAGCTGGGATTACAGGCACCTGCCACAATGCCCAGCTATTTTTTTTTTTTTGGCAGTTCTCTTTGTTGTTTTAGCAGGCCCAGACGGGTTTGAACCCCCTTTGAGCCTCGGTGTATATGGCCAGCACCCTAACCACTGAGCTACGGGTGCCTAGCCTTCAAAAAAAAAAAATGTTGTCATTTGTGCAAATGACTAGGACATTGGAAAAGGGACTATCCCTGAAGATTTCTGATAGAAGCCCCTAAAAAGAGGCTGATCAACCTCTCTAATCTTCATACTAACGACAAGGACTGAGAGGCCTCTAAAGAAAGCTCTGGTAAGTTTCTACCAGTTCTTTTCTTTTCTTTTTTTCCCCCTATTTGTTAGAAAAGCTCGTAAATGAATGATTAGGCCCAATGTAGGGACCCACCCGAGTAGAATTGTCCTGCCCAAGAAAGAGTGAGTGTGCCAATCCCCACCTCCACCCCCAAACTCTTATATTCCCACCCCACCTTAACCCACGTGCTGACTTCTTTTTCGAACTCAGCCCACTTGCACCCAAGTCAGTAAAGGCCATGTTGCCCACACAGAACCTGGACTCTGCTGCCTTTCATTCACGTCTCAGAATAACCTCTCATTTTCCATCCCAAACCTCTTAACTATATTTTTTGTTTTTTAAAGAGAGTGATTTTGTCCAATTTGGAGGTTGTGTAAAGGTTGTTTCAAAATATACATTAAAAGGCAAACGGGCACAAAGCAGAAAGAAACCAGTAAGTAGGGGGGAAAGGTGCGGAGAAAGGTATAAGTGTGAGAATGCATTTTTTTGTTTAAAAAAAAAAAAAAAGTTGAAAAAGGAAAGAGTAAAAATTTTTTTTGGTATGAGAAAGAATTTAGTGTGGTCTAAATAAGAGGAAAAATTAATCTTTTGTCATAAAGTAGATGATTGGTTGCTCCAATATGAAAAAGAAGGGAAAATAGGACAAAACAAGCTTTAAGCAAGTTGTAGACGATTTGAACAAGTCCAATGAGGTCTCAGTAAGTCACAGAAGGTTTGTGGAAGATAA